GATGGTGTTAGAGTAATTTTGGAGCCAGTCTGCAGACATTTGCGCCTGATGTGGCACTTATAACTTACAGAAATGGTATCAGCATCGAACATACGGCTAGTGCTGTTTTTTGGTTGCTTTCTGGCTAGTTTTGCAGTTGATAGAAAGGACGAATCTTATACGATTTAGTTAAAAACACAAACCTGTATTGTATTTACAAATTTTCAACACACAAAATTTTCAATATCTCAGTCTCGGGTTTATTTTTAATATATTCTTAAAATTTCGTAAATTTCAGCCTCGATATTCTTATAAAATACATACGTAGAAAAAAAGAGTGTAGCTTTCTTTGAATAGAAAAGTTAAAATACTTCCGGTTCGCCAGGGAATCGGAAAAGCGGAAAAAACTGTGGTTTTTGGTAATTGTAGAGCCAGTCCTTCTCCGCGTCATTCATTTTGCGAAGCGCGCCTTCTGCAAAAATTTGTACCAGCTGGAGCATTTCAGTTCTTTGCTCCTTGATTTCTGTCGGCTACAGTGCGATGGGCAGGTTCAAAATGCACGTGAACTTTACAAATGGTAAAGTGAACCGGCTTAGAGAGGAAGCAATTCCAATTCGTCAACAAGGTACACACCTCGACCTTCCAAGGTGTACGAAACGGTATTGTTTTCAGTTCAGGGGTGAACTATTTACATAGTGGTGATAGTATCCCATCAGAGTAAAGTTCGTTATTGGCAAAATAAACATGTTCTAGCTAGACAAACAAATTGGTGAACACATGTTATTCGGATATCTCTAAACTGACCTTAACGAATAGAATAGGGGATTAAAATGTACGACAAATTGAAGTTTTTTTCATGACTGAAGAGATTCTAATCTAGATTTAAACATCGTAGTGTGTAAAAATGCAAAGTTATTCCTCTCGGTGTTAAGTGGTAATATTTATTTTGAACCAAATCACATCTAATTTTATAATTATATATAATTTTATAATAATTTATGCATTAGGTTCGGCACATAAAAAGTTCGACCTCTGAATCAAAGCCGTTTCAAAGCCGAAATTCCCCGCTGAGCTAGTCGTTCTCAACTGATTCAGACTCCAACCTTTCATGTACTTAATTCAACGTAATAGGTTAACCTCATAAAAAGTTCGTTTTCCGAACTGGGTCCAGTCAGTTATTTAGCATTTCTTCCATGAGCCCAAGTGAGATACGAGGTGATAAATGACAAGCCGGGCGCGTAGCGCCGAGTTTGTTTTAATCATCTCGTATCTAACACATGCGAATGACTTTTTTTTTCAAAATTCTTCAACCGACTGGGTGATGTGGACATTTTTAATAAGATCTAAAGAAAGGGATGGTATGAAAAGGAGGCAAAATTTGACAAGTGTTGTTCACTTTTTGTGTTGAATGTAACATATATATCAGGAAACTAAGCCAAACAGAGTTTTCTTCCGAAATGTTAATCGCACAATCACCTCCAAAGTTGTCTACATCCTGCATGATTCTGGAAAATTGTGATAAACGACCAAAAGTTGGAGGGAGGATCCGTAGGTAGTGGTGTTGCTGAAAATTATTCGCCTAGTGTGTACAAGTCAAATGAAGCAAGGGTTGACTTGTTTGCGGAGCTTTCAAAATCGAAAATACAAATTGTGTCACTCAGAATTTAGGTCTAAAAGGGCAAGACCCAAATGTTAGGTAATAATTCAAACTTAATGTTCAGCCGAAACTGAACCTGTTTTCACTCAACTGCACCATATTGTGTCGGTATTTTCTGCTGGTCTTCTTCACCTTTGTTGCACATTTGTAAAACTCTAGGTAGTTAGGTTAATTGTGACATTTTGTGGCTGTACTAGTTAATTCGAGTTTTGATTGGTTCACTGTATTTTCTTTCGTCCTTTGTGATTGGCTAGAGCGGTTACTTTGGTTGTGGTTTTACAACACTCAAGCTCAATTCAAAACCTTTCTTGACCTTAAAAATCTCGACTTGCTGAGTTGCAGCCGTCTCCATCCAAAGTAACAATTTATCAAAAAAAGTGTAGACCTGAAATGACACTGATGGAAGAAAAAGTAAAAATGGAAAGACCAGTAAGGAGATTTTGAATAGGGCAAGAATGTAACTTGATAAGTAAACGTTTAAAGTTGTTCTTCAATAATATTTGGGTAATCAAATAGACGATTCGATAAAGGCCTTGAGCTACTTTATTCTTTTTGATATTCGGCATAGTCAGAGATTTAGGTGACACTAATAATTAAATATTATAATAAGGACAATGAATTGTCCAAATGTGGCGATGGTAACACACCATAGCATACAATATCGCTATAATGGGTAGCAGCGAGAAAGAATGTAGGTATTTAATTCATGATCAAAGACCTTTTAGACTGCTTAGATCTTTTGTTCTCACTACTGAGCGCAACTACTCATCAGCGATTTTCTATGTTATCGTGTGTCACCATCGCCACATTTTGTACGACTCATAGTTCTTATTATACAATCTAGTCATTCATGTCACTTAAATCGCTTTTTTTTATATATCTCGCACTGTGGAATATTTTCTTTACATTTTCTAATGATGCTGTAAATCGGCGAAACCTTGGAATAAGTAGGAATTCAGCAGCTCAAAGGCCTCAATCGAATCGTCTATGTAACTTGATAAATATGGTGTAACATCATGCTGCTTGTTGCTCTACAACAAGCCAATCCCCCTTCAATGCAACATTGTAATTAATCAGGAACTGAAAGGTACTTTGCTAACTACGGCGAAACAAAGTTATGACAACAGGCACAACAAATCGGGGTAATAAAAGAGAACAGTACAGCTGCCGCTAAGAAATAACTCTTTTCAGTTCAGTCACCTTAATAGCATCAAGACTTTATTTCACTACAACAACAAATTGTCATCAACTTCGACTGAGTTAAAAGCTCTTTGTAGCTAGCAAATAGACCAAGAGTGGCTTATTCAACAATAAAAAGAAGAAGAAGAAGAAGAAGAAGAAGAAGAAGAGGAAAAAGAAAAAGAAAAAGAAAAAGAAGAAGAAGAAGAAGAAGAAGACGAAAAAGAAGACGAAAAAAATTAAGAAGAAGAAGAAGAAGAAGAGGAAGAAGAAGAAGAATTTCATAACTTTTAGAGCGCTATTTACATTTATTGATCAACAGCGTTGCACAACTTAAAATACTACAATAAACAACCCTTGGACTGCATACTATACGTTGATGATGCTTACATAATATACTAACACAGATAACATGATGCACCCTAACAGAATTCCGAAGCAAACCGTTGGCAAACAGTAGCTAACTATGCTCGGAATCTAACAAACTTACTGGTAGGCAATATTAACTTGGCCCATTATCCATGTGCTATTGCGAAATTACATGTTATGAACGATATTCACCTAATGTCATAACCCAATTACATGTAGAGATATTTTTTCATTCCAGTTATACATCTTTTCTCTCATTTGTAATAGATAATGCTGGCTCTAATAATCCCCGAG